TTGACCTTCAGTGGATTATTTTAGTTAATCTGTGTGGACCTTATTCAATCAGTTAAAAGACCTTAAGAACAAAGCTGAGGCTTTCCTGAGGAGGAAGAAACTGCCTGCGAATCGCAGCTTCTGCTCATGCCCCAGCATTCCAATCTGCCCTTCCTAAAAGCCAGCCTCAGAGATTTTAAACTTTCATTGTTACTTCCCAAAATCATGTTAGTCAATTCCTTACTGTATGTATCTCCTGCTGGTTCTGTTTCTCTGGCTGATCCCTGACTGATATATAGAGCATAACATCTAGATATGTCATATTTATAATCTCTTTCAGTCAGTACACAGTTATCAAGCAATTATTTCAGTATTATGGGCAAGTAATTGAATTCAGCTAATCTCTTGTCAGTATTTAAGAAATCAGTCTGTTCAATCAAAATAAAGTACTCCTGGATGAGTACTTTACCAAAACCAGATTTCAACTCTCCATCTGGCCTCCTAAAACTTCCTCTTCTAGTATTTCTACTTGGAGCTGGCACACCTAGGTTCATCCCAGAGCCTGTGATCTCCAGTATATCCCTCCTTCTCATCTTCCATGTTAAATCCATCACTGCTTATCAGTTCCAGAAGACTATTTACCAAGGACTTAAGACGCCCATGTGCAAAGGACTTAGAGAAGATTGTGGGCATAATTGTTGGGAGGTGAGAAACTTGGTAGATAGCATGTAACATAGAAGTGAGAAAATACCAGTGATTTAATTCCAAATGCAGCGCACTAGTTCACTTTTTCCTCTTTGCACTGCCATTTCCTTAGTCTGTGGGCTCACGATTTACGTGGTGTCTTTGGTCTTACTTCCTCAGAGGAATCTTCAGGCTCCCCAAGCCTCAGATTCATTATAGTGTCTTTCTAATTCATTACAGTGGCTGGCTTAACTTTCTTTGAAGGACCTGCAATTATCCTTTAACCTGCTTGGCAAAACTTCTACTAGCACAGTTATGCTTGTGATTACTGCTTAATATCTCTCCTGTTAGTCAACCTTGATGAGTTCCGTGTCAGAACTGTTTGATTTTTCTTTTCTTTCTTTTATATTTAAACTTTTAAAAATTGAAGGATAATGTTCAGAAATAAAAGTAAATATACTATAAATGCAGGCATGATGCATTCATTTATATAGAACAGCTGTGTAAACATCACCAATATTTTTTATTTTAGTTTATTACTAGCACTCTGCCTTTATGCTCCATTCCTGTTTTTTTCTCCTCTTCCAAGGTCTAACTACCATTCTGAATTTAACTGCATAGATTACTTTTGCCTCTTTTTGTGCTTTATATAAAGGAAATTCTCTGTATTAATTAATTCATTTTCATGCTGCTGATAAAGACCTACCAAGACTGGGTAATTTATGAAGAAAAAGAGGTTTAATGAACTCCCAGTTCCAGATGGCTGGGAAGGCCTCATGATCATGATGGAAGCCAAAAGGCATATCTTACATGGCGGCAGGCAAGACAGAATGAGAACCCAGAAAAATGGGAAACCTCTTATGAAAACATCAGATCTCGTGAGATTGATTCACTAACACTAGAACAATGTGTGGGAAACCAGCCCCATGATTCAGTTATCTCCCACCAGCACCCTCCCACAATACGTGGGAATCATAGTAGCTACAATTCAAGATGAGATTTGGGTGGGGCTACAGCCAAACCACCTCATGCTCTAAAGCTGTTCACTTTTCAACATGTATTTATAAGATTTCACCCACACTACTGAATCAATTGTTAACTTGTTTGTTTTCAGTACAGAATAATATCCAACTGTATAAATATAACATAATTTATGCATCCATTATACCAATGATAGATCTTTAGGTTATTTGCAGGGATGGTTGTTATCAATAATATTTCTATAAACTCTCTTACATGTCAAATCATGGGCATATGTCTGGATTTATTTTGGGAAATGCACCTAGGATGGGAAATGCTAGTCCACAAAGTACATATATTCGGTCATAGTCAATACTGTCCCAAACAAGTTTTAAAAGTGGTTATACGAATCTGAACTCTCATTAAGAGTTTTAGTTTCTCCAACTGAGGTTTCTTTACAAACACTTGAGATTTTCAGTCTTTTCACTGTGCTCATTCTGATGGATATGTAGTCGAATCTGATTATTGCTTTAATTTGAATTTGCTAATGATTAACATAGTTAAACACCTTTTCATATGTTTATAGACATTTATATATTCTTTTTACCAAATATTTATTCACATTTTGCCAGTTTTCAATTGACTTGTATGTCCTTTTAAGTGATTGTATAAGATTTTTTAAAATATATATATTGAAATATGTATTGACTATTTTTGAAAGCTGTAGAATCTCCTTACACTCTACGAATTGTGTTTTTGATGACCAGAAAATTTCTCTTAGTATAGTTAAATACACTAATTTCTTCTTATATAGCTAGTATTTTTGTGACCCCTTTAAGAAATCTTTGCCTACTCCAAAATTACAAGATTATTCTATATTTACTTCAAAAAGATTTTTCTATTTGGTTTTACAATTAAGACTTGAAATTAATCTGTAATATATTTTGCTTATTTGAGATAGACACTGTCTTTTCAAACACAGATATATTCAAAGCACTCAGCAATAGATATTGAATTAATAACTGAATAAACGGATAAATGAAAACATAAGTTTGAGTTAGTTCTGAGAAAAAAATATGTAGGATAATGTGTATATAGTATACATTATAGATGGAATGTTCAAAATTCTCTTTCCAATCACATTATCCCTTCTTTAATATAAATATTAAATGTTTATATCCTAGCTTCCATTGCATACAGAGACAGATGTGAAACTTTTTAATCCAGTGAAATATAAGAAGTCCACTTCCACAGTCCTGTAGCAGGCATATGGATATAATGCCTGAGGATATAGCAGCCATATTATTACCATAAGGTTACAAGAATTAGGACAAAAAGCATAAGAACAATATCTAAGAAAAAAATCTAAGCAAAAATATAACAAGAATCCTGGTCTCAATGATAACTGAACATCTATGCTAATCACATCCCTAAACTTTTCTTATATATTAAAAATAAATCCCATTTGTGTCATTTGGTGATGTATGTGTAGGATTAATTTTCTCATTTGCTACCAAAGGCATATCTAAATGGAGCAGTCTGAGGAACTCATAAATATTTCTGATTTGACAATGCCATCATGTCTTAAAGGTTCATTTCCTCATCCACCACAAATGAAGGATAGCAGAAGAAATGTCCTTTCTTTCAGCTTATGTTGTGCTCCTGTGAGTCAGAAAGCCCTGGTCTGAACTGTGAATCCTGGCTCTGCAGTATACAAGCTGCTTCTCTTTTGAGAAATTTACTTAACATCCACTGGTTATTAATTTGCTTTCTGTCAAAGAATAAAATGATATAGGAAAAAAATATCTTCTTTGAGAATTCTTTTAGAAAAAGGCTTATGATAATTTATGAAAGATACCTGATATAAGGTAAGTATTTAATATGTATTAGGTATATCCCTTCATTTTTAATTATAAGTACATTTACAGTATATGCTTGAGAAAAGCATCAAGTAAACAACAGACAAAAACCAGGATGATTTTTTTTGTCTTAGATAAGTTGTCATATCAATAAAGATATGCACTAGTGAAACACACTTTATCTTGTAGAAAAAATGGGCAGGAATGTTTTCCGTTGTTTATGATGTTAAATGTTGTTCCTGGTAGCCAGAAACTTGAGTTATTATTTCGTGGCAATAATTTTATACATTATCATGGCCTAAGAAAGTTTATGATGCTTTCGAATATTACAAGTGATTTTCAGACAGTTGCATGTTTGATATTACCAAGAAATGTTTTCCCTATTAACAGGAAAGCAATTCTAATTGTTTGATAGGAAGATGAATTATTTGCCCAAATATGTATAATCTTATGGGAAATGATTTTTTAAGCATGCTTTAATATTGTTTCTGAAGAAGGTAACAAGCATAACTTTGAGATTTATAATCTCATATCTGTAATTTGTGTATGTGCCAATGCATTAATAAAAGAAAATTTATCTTTTTCAGGAAAAAAATTGAGTCATAACTTAAATAGGTTTCTACTAATAGGATACTCTATTGATTCAAATATTTGATTTGTTTTTCAGGCAAGACAGACAAGTTAAGCAACAAAGAAAAATAGGGGTGATTTTCTAAAAAGACAAAAATGCACTTGAAATTGATAAAGCACCAATTTTAGATGGCATACAAAGCATTAAGAAGATTAAGGGAAAAGAGCAAAGAAATCAGTAAACCTTTACTCGACCTTTTAAAAATTTCATTAGGCTTAGAAATGTTCCCAAGAAAAATAACAAATCTGTCTGCCTTTTGTTGTGGTTGTTGTTGTTTGAGAATAAATCAAGAAATTATTTATAATCAGTTGAAGGTGTGCATTTCAGAAAATCAGTGGGCTGTACAAGAGAAAATCCTGGCAAAGCTTATTACTACACAGTCCAGTTATTTCAATATTGAAACAAGAAAGTCATACCAAACTTTAGTAGTTTTTAGAGAACATTACAGCAATCACACACAAAGGACTTTAGAAGTTGTTTAAAAGTATTATTAGTTTCCTACAGAAGATTCTGTCAGAAACTTTGAAAACTGAAAATAAAGCCAAAACTTCATACCAGCCTATCAAGTAATACAATAGCTATACATAATTCCTTAAAGCAAGCTGAAGTACATGTAGAAATAATAGGGAATAAAAATAATACCTCATATTTGTACTTGCTCCTGTTAAGGCACAGCTCGGTAATTACCTGGGTAAAACATGGACTAAAAGGCGATTTTTTTTTTTTTTTTTGAGACAGAGTCTCGCTCTGCCACCCATGCTGGAGCGCAATAGCGCAATCTCAGCTCACTGCAACCTCCACTTCCCAGGTTCAAGCGATTCTCCTGCCTCAGCCTCCTGAGTAACTGGGACTACCGGCGTGCGCCACCACCTCCATCTAATTTTTTGTATTTTTACTAGAGACAGGGTTTCACCATATTGGCCAGGATGGTCTCAATCTCTTGATTTCATGATCCGCCCAGCTCAGTAAAACGCAATTTCTATAAAAATCCTAACATGAGGTCAGCATATAGACACACAGACACACATCACACAAATTAGCTGTATAATGTCTTGGGACATGTAAAAACTTCCTGAAAATGTAAAAAAATGAGATCAAGCAATAAGTAGTTATCTTCAAGGAGCATCACAAATACTAGGAGATGCTCATGTAAAATCAATTGCAGGTATGAATAAGAAGTACAAATAAGGTATGTAAAAAATAAGTATACTTTATTTGGTTATATAAATAATTTAAAATCCAAATTCTTCTATGTTTTCCATTATCCCAGTGCTCTTTCCCAGCCTCTGTGGCTGATAATAAAAGAACATCAGTTACTATAAGGCTTCTCTTTTCCTAGCATTTCATGAATACCAATCCAAGGGGCATCTGTGTGCCACTGCATCACATTTCTATATCAACATGCTCAGCCAGTATATAAACCTTATTACTTAGGAACCAGGACCATTAGTTTTACCCTTAGACTTCATGAGATGCTACCAGGGGTAGAAGCAAAATCTCTATGGTAAGCTGACTGCATTCATTCTGGGTTCAGCCTGAGCACACACAACTCCAGCTGCCTGCAGGAGCACTGGCTCCTTTACCTTTTCCTTCAAAAACAGTGAGCGTTTAGATTGACTTGGATGATGAAATAACCTGGGCTACAAACCCCCATGAGACAAGTTTACTTACATAACAAATCCTGCACTTGTACCCCTGAACTTAAAATACCATAATAATAATAATAATAATAGTAATATTTTTTAAATTCAGAAAAACCCACAACAACAGTAGCAGAGCTTCTAGGATGGTATACCTTTTAAAAAACTTCAGAGGAGGAAAAAGGGCTGCTTTCATTCTCTTTCTGATTTTGACTGAAAACTCTTTGAGACATAAAAACACAAACTCCCCATTTTTACCTTTGGATTGGCAGAGGAAAAAGAAAGAGAAAAATAAAAGTCCAAGATTTAAGCTTCTAGTGTTTCCCTGGTAGCTTCTGACTAGTCCAGCTGACCTAAAGTTTATAGGTTAATTGGTTGTATGCAAGATATAAAAGACACCATCAAATAATAAATTAACTGAAAGAACATTGGAGACCTCCGTATAAATCAGGAGATCTGGAAGCAATTCTCATCAGTGGGTAAATTAGAAAAATATAACCTCACCCATAGAGGGAGATGTTGGCGATGTCTTAGCTATTTCATTTTAGCTATGCATTGAAAGAAAAGAAATAAATAAAGAAAGAGAGATTAAAAAACTAGGAAACAAGGAAGGAAGAAAGTCTCTTCTAAGAATACCTAACCACAAGCTATAGCTGCAGCATGTGACCATAATTACACCAATCCAAGCGTGTAATTTACTTTTAAAAAGCTCCAGTGAGGTAGTGCATCATGGAGATTTAACAGAAACAGAAATATTTTCTTTGAAAAAAGCATGTTAAACCCACCATTCAAATTATTCTTACATATAAAGTTCCAAGAAATACTAGCTTGTGATGACAAATTTTCAAAAATAAATTAAGATGACTAATGATCCAGAATGACATAAATTAGAAAACAGGTATGGAATCAAACCCAAGGACACTAGAGATAGCAAAGCTATCAAATAAATAATGTATAGGTAAGTATGCTAAAAATGTTTAAATTATAAAAAGAGAATCGAATATATGATTAATATATTACAGATATTGTAATTATTGCAACATAATTGTCATAGTTGACAAGAAAGACAAAAAAATAACAATTCTCATATCATTAAAAAAATGCATAGTAATTTTAATTAGAAACTCAATAGATGACTTAAATAGACAGAGATGAAGAAAGAACATTAGAAAATGGACATAGATCTGTCTGAAGAAATTACCCATAATAAAATACAGATAAAGATATGGAAAAGTAAGAAAATTAAGACACATCAAGTTTAATATGAGATAATAGGAGAATCTGGGGGGAAGGATTATAAAGAAGATAATGTTTGAGTGAGTATGCTCCAAAATTCTTGAAAAATAGCAATATTTAAATAGAGAAGCTCAGGAGTTCTCAAGAAGGATAAGTTAAAAGAAGCTGAGATAAATGAATTGTAATGAATATACCTCATTCTAAAACCAAGAGAAGATGGTTAAAGTAGTTAGAAATAAATGACAGCTTTTTCTAAAGGAAAAACTATAAAACTGTGACTTCCCAATAGAACAACAGAAGCTGGAAGAAAATAGAATTCTTTGTTTTCAAGGTGCCAGGAGGAAAATAATGTCATATTTGTATATACTCAATGTAAGTATCTCAAGAATGAAGACACAATAAAGCTATTAACTGACTTGCATTAGAGAAATTTCTTAAGAACATAATTCAGGAGAAAAAAATATGCCAGATAATTGCCTAAAAGGTAAGAAAAATGTTAAGAAAATATTTAGGCAAATTACAGCAAACGCTAAGTTAATAAAACATAAACAATATTATGAGGCTAAAGAAAAATAACAAATAAGAATACTATATAACAATTAAGCCACTGAAATTAAAAGCTTCTAAGGTTCTTGCATTTTTCATGAGGTAGATAAGGATATATGATTAACTTTAGTCTTTTGAAAGTTAGATAAGCATATAACCACAAAATGAATATAAACAGTTCCTATAACTTTCAGTCTGCTTGGAGACAAAATAGAATGAGGTAATAAAACAAACACGACAAAACTCTATCAATCCAAATAAAGCCAGAAAATAAGAAAACGAAAGCATGGAAAAAGCTTAATAAGTGGAGTCATTGAAAAAAAGGTGGCAGAAATAAAACCAAATATACCAACATAACTATATCAATACATTTATATACAATAAATATAAAAACATTATTTAGTTAAAAAACCAAAATAATCCGGACTTGTTTAAACAAGACACATATAAAGTATAAGATAAAATGGTTGTAAGCAGAAGGATTGAAAAGATGTAGCAGGAAAATACTAACCCAAAAATTCATGTAACTATGCTATAAGACAGAATATAAATTAAGATAAAAATCATTACCAGACACAAACATACAACCATATACACACTGTTTCTATATGATGTCTAGAAGCTAAATTCAACTGGATAATATAATAATTCTAAACATTTTTATCTAGCTTAAAGCTATGCAAAGCAAAATGTATGAGAAGACTCAAATAGACACATCTACTATCCTAGTAGGTAATTTGAACACACTTTTTAAATTAATAAATGAATTAAACAGAAACATCAGGAACTGTAATGAAGATCTGAATAAAATAATTACATCCAATAAGATAACAGGCCTCAAAATCTCATTGATTTCTACTTTTCTCCAAGCAGTGATTCATGGATACAGCTCTCCTTCTTGTGGCTTCACCACTCTGTTGGTCAGTGCTGCTCATCTGGGGGCAATTTTGACCCCAATGGGAAATTTGACATTATCTGGAGAAAGTTCAGGTTGTCACAGCTGGTCGCTATTGACATCTAATATATTGAGAACAGAAATCCTACAAAACCTCCACAGAACACTGTTTCCTGTTGAGGTATAGGGCAGCTCCCACAAAAAGAATGAACAGGCATCAAATGTCAGTGCTGAGGTTGAGAAATCCTGGTCTATAACCTTGAAGTCCTCTATGGGATTTTCTGCATCTGGCCAGCAAATGGGGAAGACTAAGCCACTTTCACTGGGGAAGTTTTTGTGAATCATATCTAATGTCCAGAATTCCTTACAATAAATAAAAAAGGACACACGAAAAATCAAAAGAGAAAAAGGCATAAGGAATTAAAGTGTATCACTAAAAGTAAAAAATAAATAGGCGACCTCCACTGGGGCAGGTTTTTGTGAATCAGATCTAATGTCCAGAATTCCTTACAATAAATAAAAAAGGACACAAAATTTTTTAAAAAAGCCATAAGTAATTAAAGTGTATCACTAAAAGTGGCCAATATATATGAGTATGTACCCAAACTCATCAGTAAACAGGAAACTGAAAATTAAAACTACAGTGGGTTTCCACTTGACATCCACCAGGCTGATACTGATGACTAAGTACAGTATGCCATTTACGGCATGGAGAAACAGGAATTTTATATATTTTAGTCCAATTGTAAATGTCTGCATCTGACATAGATATCAATTTAATATGAGATAATAGGAGAATCTGGGGGAAAGATTATAAGGAAGATAATGTTTGAATAAGCATGCTCCAAAATTCATGAAAGATAGCAATATTTAAACAGAAGCTAAAGAGTTCTCAAGAAGGATAAAAGAAGCTGAGATAAATGTATTGTAATGAATATACCTCATTCTAAAACCCAGAGAAGATGGTTAAAATAGTTAGAAATAAATGACAGCTTTTTCTAAAGGAAAAACTATAAAACTGTGACCTATTCATGTAAAAATACACATAATTATTACCAAGATTCTCTATTCCTAGATATTGATTGGTTTGGGTAGTGCTTTTCAACATTGCTTGCAGATTAAAATTGTCTAAGGAATGTTTACATGTCAGTGCCTGAGTCCCACTACCAAAGTTGCTAATTCAACTGAGCCCAGAACAGGTCCTGAAGCAACAGATATTTGAGTGTGCAGTCGAAGTTAAAATATGCTGCCTCCTCTCCATGTACACAACAGCATCAGCATCATTTATAATAGGAAATAAACAAACAAAAACTTATATATACATAAACTAGTAAACTAGTAACTGCTGTCATTATAGACTGAAACAGGCAAATCTTGTGGTTTAATAATATAATAAAATGTTATACGACAACAAAAATGAATCTACAGTTAAATCTGTCTTGAACTGAATTTTAAACCATTATTAAATTTTAAGACACAAATGTCAACCAAAAATTTTAAAACACACTGTAAATTCATACCATATAATTCTCTTTTCTCTATATATAAATGTGTGTGTTTGTTTACATATATATCATTACACACACACACATACAAACACATACACATAACATAACCTGTAGTAAAAATTGTAATAGAAAGTAA